ATGGCGAGGAGCGGGGGGGAGGCAAGTGGGGCAAGGCAAGGGGGGGTGGAGGACACGGGGGAACCAGCAGGATGGGGGGGGTACTTACCTCCTCCTGCTGTTTCCTCTGCCTCCCCCCCCCCGCAAGGAGGGCCGGCTGGACGGCGCTCTTGAGGAGCGGGGCAGGCTCCCTCTCCGGGCTGTGGGGCTCGGAGCGGGGGGGGAGAACAAGTGGAGTCCCAACTACAACACAGTAGGCAACATTTTGTTGCGGGTCTCCACTTGTTTGTTCTAAAACTGTTTCAGGTACAGACATCAAGCTGACTGGTCAGTAGTTACCCAGATCCTCCTTTCCCCCCTTATTGAAGATGGGAACAATATTTGCCTGTCTCCAATCTTCTGGCACCTCACCTGTTCTCCAAGAATTCTCAAAAATAATGGACAGAGGCTCAGAAATTACATCTGTGAGTTTTCTTAGTACCCTCAGATGCAGTTCATCTGGCCCCAAGGTTTTGTTTCATTTAAAGAAACTAGGTGTTTATGTACTACACCTATGCTAATCCTAGGCTGCAACTTCCCTCCCTCATTACGTATTTTGTTTTTGCCATGTTGAGCACCTTTTCACTGGCAAGAGAAGACTGAGGAAAAGTAGGAAATGAGCAGTTCTGCCTTCTCTTCACCATCTGTTACAATTTCACTTTCCTGTCCCCACAATGGGCCTACCATGTCTTTGCTCTTTTTCTTTCTTTAAACATACGAAAAGAACCCTTTTTTGTTGTTTTTAGCATCTCTCGCTAGCCTAAGCTCATACTGAGCTTTAGCTTTCCTAACTCTCTCTCTCTACAAGCACTGTTTATTTGTTTCTATTCATCCTTGGTTATAAGGCCCTCCTTCCATTTCCTAAATGAGTTTTTTTTAATTTTTCAATTCTTCAGAATTACTGTTATTGTCTTTACTGTTTTTGCAACCAGAGTTATAAACAGCAAACCCTCATTCCACAATAAATCTTGTTCCACAGAAAATATGGAATAATTTAAAGATTGCTACTGCAAAAGTTATGTGATTTGACAACAGCTGCTAGAAATTTTGCCATGCGCAGAGTAGTTTGTTTATCTTTGTCTCTAAGTAACCAGGATGATTTTGCTCCTTGAGAGAGGAAGTTCTCATTAAATAAAGGAGAGATCAGTTCATCTCTTAGAGCTAAAAATTTGGGACAATCAAGCAAAATATGATCCACAGAGTCAATTTTACTGCTCCTGCAATTACAGAGTCAGAGTATGAAATCCCATTCAATCTTCCTGACATCACAGCTGAAGGTAGGACATTCAGATGCGCTAGCCCGAATGCCCTTCTATACTTGGGAAGAATTATCTCAGATAAGTAGTTTGGCATTGTGGTTGGAGGCTGAATGCCTGCTGAAAACGTTGAGCACTAATAGATGTGCTCTCATAGTCAAAGTCTCTCAAACT